AGCACGGGGGCTGGCAGGGTGGGCTGAGGGCAGATTCTCAGCCAGCACACCAAGACAGAGGAGCGCGTTGCTGAGTCCCCTGGACAGGATGAGACCAGCTTTGTGACAGCTCCTTTTATTTTAAAAACAGCCAGGTCTGTCCGTTGCAGAGGCCTCTGCAAAGCCCATTGGCGTCGCTTCTGTCGGCCTCTCTCGCTGCCTGGGCTGGCAAACTCTGGTTAAAGCTCTTGGCAGGCCCAGCTCACGACATCCCGGTTTCTCCCACCTTGTTGCAGAACGTGTTGCTGCAGATGGGCCTCCACGTGCTGGCAGTGAACGGCATGCTGATCCGCCAGGCCAGGAGCTATATCCTGCGATGCCACGGCTGCTTCAAGTGAGTGCGTGTGCACAGAGCACTCTGCCCTCTGCACAGGCGTGCGGTGCTCGCTGGGGCCGGGCGGATGATCCTGCTCGTGCGCTAAGCCTGTATTCCACAGCCCAGGGAGCAGTAAACCCTTCTGTCCCTGTCTTGCAGGACCACTTCAGACATGACCAAGGTTTTCTGTCCCCACTGCGGTAACAAGACCCTGAAGAAGGTCGCAGTGAGTGTCAGCGATGACGGGAGCCTCCACATGCATTTCTCCCGCAACCCCAAGGTGCTTAACCCCCGAGGGCTCAGGGTGAGTAGCTGCACATCGTGTGCTGGGCGGCTGCTGGTGGGACAAGAGCCTGGCCTGTGGCCACTGCATTGGAGGGAACCGTGGGCAGGTGGGAATCAAAGCGAATCCATGATCATCCTCCAGATCTTCCACTTGACCCCAGAGCTTTCGAGCTTCATTTGCTCAGCTCTTCTTTAGAGGCCTGCAGTGATCTTCAAGGCCCTTTGAGCAAGAGTTGCCCCTGAAACGAGTGTAACGATTGCTTTTCTCTCGGCAGTACCCGCTGCCGGCCCCACAAGGAGGGAAGCATGCGAACAACCCTCACCTGGTGGAAGACCAGCCCTTCCCACAGCAGCGGCTGTCCCGCAAGGCCAGGCAGAAGACTAACGTCTTCGACCCTGACTACATCGCCGGGGTCTCCCCATTTGCGGAAAACGACGTCTACAGCCGCGCAGCCAATCTGCAAATCCGGGACGCGGCCCTGGGCGCTGGCAGGAGACGCCTGAACCCCAACGCCGTGACGAAGAAGTTTGTGAAGAGGAGGTGAAGGGCGGGACGGGGCGCTCTGCCGCCGGTGCTGGGAGGGAAGGACCATCTGCCCGGGCGTTGCATGTTGCTGCCCAAAGCCTGATGGCTCTGGGAGGGCGAGGCCTCTCCCAGCACCCTTCTGAAGGCAGCCACCCTGGGCAGGGGCTGGGCCTTTCCTTCCACGCTTCTCTGGTGCCTGAAGAGCAGCCATGACCGGGGGTGACAGCTGTTGGGTTTGGGGGGGCTCTGACCTGGGATGGCCTGCCAGAACTGGGGGGAGCCAGGCAAGGTGCAGTCCTGCTCAGCCCCCAGGACGCTCCAGGCAATGGCTGTGTTGCTAATTAATAAACACAAAAACCCGCAGCACCATGGCTCAGT